TCAGCCCAGCAGCCCCCGTGGGTCAGCCCGGCCATCGCTGCACCTCCTGTGGTCAGCCCGGCCATCGCCGCATCCCCGTGGGTCAGCCCGGCCATCGCTCACAGCCACAGCCTCACCTTCAGGCGCAGCATGTCCTCGCCTTCCAAGAACAGCGCCAGCTCCTTCCAGTTGAAGGAGGCGCGGGCGCGGTAGGCATGCAGGGGCCCCCTGGGGAGATCGGGGAGCAGGGCCTCCTCGCTTCCTTCCACATTGGGTGCCATCGCTCCACGTCAGCCTGCGCAGCAATCACAGCCTGAGTCAGCGAGCTTGTCTCTCTGTTCACGCACCTCGAGCAACTGTGTACGTGCAATGCGTTACAAATGAGAGCAAGACTCCAAAGGGCCAAGGAGAACGGACACGCTTAGCGCTAAAGTCCCTTTTCCCCAAACAGAGGGGGAGGCAGATCTCCTTGAACGGACAAAGGTGGCCAGGGGGCGGAGGGAAGCAAAGGGCAGCCCTGGGCAGTGCCAATGTCCACAGGCCGTGGTCCCCATGCCAGAGGGCTCCCAGGTCCTCCCCATCACTGGCAGCTTCCTGGCCACCCACCCTCTCCTGGAGGCCCTTGAACTTGGCATGTCCAACACTGAGCGCTCCTCAGCCCTGACCAGCCTGTCCCGCAGGCCGTTCCACAACCCAGCTGCCATCCGGGAACCCCCTCTTCCTCGGGCCCCGAAGCCCCACACTCCCCTCTTTAACGCCTTCTGAACCTTCCACGACTCTCCACTCCTATTAAATGGAGCACAATAACCCCCGATTATTGGGCAACCCCTGCAGCCGGTGGATGTCTCAACCCTGTGGCAACACCAAGGACTCACGGTGCTCTCGTTTCTGATTGACGAAACTGGAGCCTGTTAAGGGTACAATCAGCCCTGGCCACTTTTGCTCGGTAGTTAGAGCGTTGGCCTGCGCAATGAAGGAAGGGTCCCGGGTTCGATTCCTGGTTGAGGGCCCGTACCTCAGTTGCAGGTTCCCCAGCCCTGGTGGCGGTATGTGGGAGGAAACCAATCCATGTGTCTCATATCCATGTTTCTGTTTCAATGTTTCTCTCTCTACTCCCCCCCCCCCCCCTCCCCCCTCTCTTTTTAAAAAAATATAAA